GCGGGCTCCGGTGCTCGGCGGGGGACGGCGTGGCGCTCGGCGGGGGGGCTCGGGGGCGGCGCTTTTTTTTTTTTTGCTGCTTGGGGCAGCAAAAAAGCTAGAGCTGGCCCTGATTATTAGGGAAGTGCTCAGATATCCTGATCATGGCCAGCGACCCATTGCACTAGGTACCCATTGCAGAAACATAAAAGTAGTCTGTCTCCCCAGGAGCTTACAAATTGTCTAGTGCTCTAAACTTAAGGAAATGCCACATACACAACTGGGAATTTCATTTTTCTTGATCAACTGGCCAATCCTTAACCACTTCATTCTGCTTGTGGCGTTTTTACCCACCTGGTTCTCCTTTGTCCCTGAGCACAAGTGAGCAGAAAGCAGGCAACCTTCCTCGATGAGAACTCATAGGTGATTGGGGGGCCGGCTGAACTGAGTGGGAGTAAAAGGCAGAAGTGCATTCATGTGTTTGTAGGAGGGGCCAATCGTTTCTTCACTTAGGGCATCAGGCATCATTGCTTTACAATGAGTCTATTGCATATAAATTGGATTGTGAGTGAACAGGTGATTAACGGAAAAGAAAGACAGGAATGCGTGTCTGCTGGTATATGGGGAGTTTTAATGTGCTGTATGGAATTGATCGTAAAATATAAGAATTGTGTACATGGTCCTTTTTCACTCTGGATAATGTATATATTTCAGGTGATTGCACACACTTTGTTGGTGGTAGTAGTAAAGTACCCAAAAAACAACCCTAGTGTGATGGTATCACTGAAGAGAACTTCTCTTGTAGAACCTTTAGCTACCACTTAGTTGTTCCTCTGGTTGTTTTTCTGTTGATTTTTCTTTTTCCCCCCATCAGGGAACTTGCCTCCTCCATATGTTCCCCTGGAACTGCAACTCAAAATTCAAGTGTCACATTAGCAGGAACTTCCCTAATTTAATTACAAAAGAGGCGGAATTGCTGACGCAAAATGTCAGTGAGCACTTTCGTCTCTTGTTCATGTAACCCTTCTGCCACGTGTCATTGGCAGCAACAAGGGCTGGGTTCAAATGATAAAACTAACTAGGGTTACCATATTTTGTGCCTCCAAATGGAGGACACTCCACGGCCCCCGGCCCCGCCCCCAGCCCCGCCCACACCCCACC